CAGTCTGTGCAGGTTGCTCTCAGAGCCTTTCCATAATGGGCAGATCCTCCCCAGCAACCTTCCCGCAGGATGCGCTCACCACTTGTCAGAGGGCCATTTGGCACCTAAACCTTTGAGCTGTCCAAACTGCCAGGAGCTCCACAGGTCTCCCCAGCTTCCTCCATGTCCCCATGGTAGAGATGCTGTGTGGGGCTTGGAAGTGCTATGTGAGAAGCCAGCCCTACCTGGGCCTCCGGCCCACCTCCTCAGCCCCCTTCTAGCCACTTTGGAGATGTGGTGGGGGCAATCTTTCCTCTCCCTCCCTCTCCCTCCCTGGCAGAAATAAAGCAGAGAACCTCTTTAAGCCACTTCAAAGTCTTGCTAAAGATTTTGCTGTGTTATCTCCTGATAACTTAAGTCTGATATCAAATGGAGTTTAGTAGTTATGGCTAAGACTGAGAGTGTGTCTGTGCCAAACACTACTCTAAGTACTTTCTAGTCTCCCCAATCCTCACAACCCTATTTTTATCATCTCCATGCTACCAATGAGGAAACTGAGTACAGGCACATCTAAATAATGTGTTCAAGGTCACAAATGCCAGTGACAGCCATGGCAGGACATGAAACAGACCAGGCCTTCCAACTCCAGAGCCAGTACTGCTTCAATGTGTTTTCAAACACCATCAAAAATGTAATACACAACAAAGCACAAGAAGCAGAGGAAAATTCACATTATTCGTGAAAGGCATCAACAAAGCAAAGATTTCCATCGTTCTCTTCCTTAAGTTTCTCTTTATCTTGAGATTTTTTCCCCCCACTTAACAATAGCAATAGGACATTTAAAAGAGAACTGCTTTTATGAATATACCATATACTTAAAAGGTAGTTAAGGGCTGAGGGGCAGGAAAGGGGGGGAGCTGAATGGTAGAGCACTTTACTAGCATAGATTACATCCATGATTACATCTCCAGCACCACAAGAAGAAAAAAATGGATAACAGAATGTTGTTGTGTATATTTTACCTAATAAATGTTTCTGTATTTTCTCTTTATATTCTAATAAAATAAAATACTCAAAATTAATGTCTGCAGCCAAATATCTCAGGCCTCTTTTATTTTTTAAGTCAAACTAATCAAATTCAAAGGACCAACAGCAGCAGCTTTGTAAGTGCAGCTAGCTACTAAGATCCTCGAATTCCTCTAGGACAACTACAAACCTAGCTCTTCTCCCAAAGCTCCTGGAATTTCCTGCGAAGTTCTGAGAGTCCAGAGCCAGTGGGAATGCCCTGACCTGTTCTTACAGATCTGACTTTAGCAGAGGTCTTTGCTCCTTCAAGCCTTGGCCGCAAGTCCTCAGGAAATCCACCGAAGACTCAAGAAAAGCACCTGGGACTGACAAAGTCTCACAGGAGAGAAATGTCCATCCAAAAAGGGCTAGGATTCCAGAAATCAAGTTGTTTTTATTGACTTAAGAGTGACACGTTAAATTTTACTTTCAGGTTATCCTAAATGTCTACTCACTGAACACTGAGAAATGAAGTACAAAAAAAAAAAAGGCTTATCCTGAGGGAAGGAAAAGCCTAACGTCTGAATCAGGAATCTGCTATTCAGTGTTTTCCAGGGAAAAATCAGGAAAGAGAAGAATAATGCAAGCACTGACTGAGCAGAACAGAAACAGGTATTTCAGAGACCAGAACTCTTGCAAGAAGAACACTGAGGTGGTTCTTTCAATGCCCAAGTCAACCTTTACATGACTACTACAAACAAATAAACTAATTTTTCAGCTGGTACAGTTTTAGGTTCTCTTGTGTCTCTAAAGAAAGAATATAGAGAGAAGAAGAAACAAAAAGACTAATGAAGCTGAAGATCATAAACACAGCAAAAATCTCCAAGAGCAGACTACATGTACAGCAGACCGAAGTATTTGGAATGTACTAACACAAGAGGATTAGCTAGAAGAATTTAATAATTTCACATATTTAACCTCTCACTAAACACCAAGAAATGATATCATTTCTAGGTCAGGCATAAACTTCTGAAACCAGATTACCCCTTAAGCGCATTACAATTTCTCTACTCCTCTCTTGCCACACAAGAACAATGCACCAAAGAGAAAAACTTTATTTTTAGACTTGGAAAAATCCTGTGTTTGTTTTTCTAAAACAGAAGAAGTCAAATAACTGAACCTGATCTGTTTGGATGTCAGTAGACCTATTCTCTCCTAATGCTGGGGCCTCAACCTCTGCCCAGAAGGAAATGAAGAAAAAGTGTTCCATCCACCCCTGCCACGCTGGGAAGTTAAAGCAGCATGCCTCCCCTGGCTTTCTGCTTGGGCACATCAAGCCTCCTGCTGGTCACCCTTCACACTGCTGTAATCACATCCTATGACACCAGGCTCTATGAGGGAGAGGCAAAGCTGTCAAGAGGCATTCATGTTGAAACTGGTTCAGTGTTTGGACTACTAACTTCTTGCATGTAATGTTTAAGCAAAAACGTTTAAACATAGTTCACTCTTAATCACTCTGCCAGCATTAAACACTAAATGGAAATGTGTTTGTAATGCCCTATGAACATTCACCCCTTGCAAAACCCTATTCCAACAATTTGACTTTTCAGTAACAAAGTTTCAAAAGTGAAATAAACTTAAAACTATTGAAAAGTCCTTTCCAAAGAAACATGTTTTAAAAAAAAAAAACCCACTGGGGTAGAATGAGCAGGGTCTGTTCACAGAGTCCTCAAATATATGTCCTTTTTTTTTTCCAATTAAACTGACCAAGCCCAATTAACAATGCTGTTAACTACAAGCAGAAAGGGCCCCGGCAATTAACCACACAAAATCAAAAAAAAAAAAAAATTGTGGAATTGTTGTGGAAAGGCAATGATTACAGTTTTAACTCTAATAATATTAACTGTGAATGAATGTAAGTTGATTATATATAAATTGTGATCTGAACCCCAGAGACCCAAGGGAAAACTAAATGTTAGATACAACCCAACTGTTGGGCATACATCTGTAAATCAGGGTCAGGGGGATACTAAGACCCTGAAATTGTTAAGGAAGGCAGCAATGGAAATAGGTAAGCACCTTACAAATTTACTCAGACTTCAAAACCCAGCTCAAATATGACTTAATTTGACTAATAATCGGCTTCCTGGTTTCTTCTAGCAGTCTCTCTCCTTTCTGGCCCTCCCTCTTCACGTCTTACAGAATCCCCGGATCCCTGTATCCTAAGTCATGAAGGCCCCAGGGCAGGGTCCACAGTGATCAGGGAAGCAAAGTAATTAGGGATAGGGATCTACCTATCAATTGCTTACTTGCTTACTCAGCATGTATGTCCTGAATTCAATCCTCTCTGCAGCAGAAAAAAAAAAAAAAGGTGGGGTGCTCAGAAGGAAAGAGCTGGAAAAAATGGTAAGAGCAGGTGTAGCAGGACAGGAGGGGATTCCAGGAACAAACAATATAACAATCAGTATAAGGAACAAAGCCGGGAGGAAGGGGGAGAGAAATGGCTTACATGCCTAAGGAGTTGTTGAGAACTCCAGGCCTTGGGAGAAGCCCCCGAAGTTATTTAATCCAGGCAGTGTACACAGATGCAGATTCATCTCTTAAGAGTTTTTAGCTAAAATCTATTAAAGACAGGATATTTAAAGAATTTGTCTACAGATACCTACAGAGGTTATATGGAGCTTTTGTACTGCAGGTTTCTGTCATGCTCATCATTTCCTTTATATACATGTACGTTTATGAAATGTATGCATACATTTATCAATTACATCCACAAACAACCAAGTGACAAAAGCTCTTGTAAGCACCCAAGGAAATTATTGTAATTGTAATTTCTTCAAGGAAAGAGTTGAGTAGCTTTTAAGTGAAAGGTTATCCTGAATCCCCTTTTCATGACTAAGATTATGGGACAGCAACATCTCAGCCCAGCATGAATAAGGTCAGGTGCTGAGTGAGAACCCACTTTACCCGCAAGCCCCCAGGAAAAGATTCACTAAATGATCCAGTAGGGAAGGTTCTAAACAAGGGGACAGCACAAATCTCCTGGCCTTTCAGTGCTTGGTCCAAAGAAAAGTAACACCGGCTTCTTGCCGTTCGACTTTGCCAGGTATTTAAAAATGTAAGATAAGGTGATATTTGTGAACCGACTAGAAGGCTCCGAGAGGCAGGGAGCAGCCTCGGGTTTCAGTCTAGCAGATCGGCCCTGGACCAGAAGGAGGCATCGACCAGGCGCAGGGCTGGAGGCCAGGGCGCCGCTCTCCGGACCGGACTGCACCGCAGGGCTGAGCGGCAGGCGGCGCGCCCGGCACCGAGGGAGGCGGGTACCCGAGCGCGCCGCGCCGCGCCGCGCCGCGCTACCCTGCCATCCCGGCTGCAGGGAGGGCATGGAGAGGCGGCTGTCGGTCAAGGAGGGAGGCCAGCATCCTCCCCGGCCTCGGAAAGAACCTGGGCCTCCGCGGCTTCTGACGTGGCCGAGTAAGGGTCATACAGTGAGCGGGAGGAGCGGCTGCGCCCGCAGGGTCCCCGCTGGACGCGGGGCGCGGCGCGGGGGCGCTGAAGCCCAGGGCGGCTCCCCCACCACCACCACCTCCGCAAACCCCACCCACCCCACCCCGGCTGCCTGCCTGGCTGCCCGCGTGGCCACCGGTCACGGGCTGCGGCCCCGATGCGCAGCGGGGAGGGAGATGCGGCGGCGGCGGCGCCGGGTCCCCAGCTCCGCCGCCCCAGCGATCCGGGAGATAAAAGTTTGCAGCATGCGGCTGGTCTGCAGTGGGAGTCACATCCGCCGCGCCGCCTCCGGCAGCACCACCGCTCCGAGATCGAACGAATAGATTTCACAAAAAAAAAAAAAACAGAAAAACGTTGAAGCCGGTAGGCCCCGAAGCCGGCCGCTCTGCCTCCCCGGCGCGCAGGCTGGCGAACCCCGCATCCCGCACCCACTCCCGCTCCGGGCCGCGCCTTCCTGCCGGCCTCGCTGCCCGGCCTGGACCAGCCCCGCCGCGCCCGCCCGCACTGACCGATAACCTCCTGCAGCTCGTACGCGTCCCTGCAGATGGGCCAGCCGACGGCCTGCGCCGCCGGGGCGGGAGCCGGTGCCACGGGCGCCACCGGAGCCGGGGCTGGAGCGGGAGCAGGCGCTGCCGCTGTCGTGGCCGCCGGGGCCGCCGGGGCTGCCGCCGGGGCCGCCGCTGTGGCTGTCACCGGGGCCGCCTGCTGCGGAAGCTGGACGTGCACGGGAGAACCGCTCGGCTCCGCCATGATGCTGCCGGAGGAGAGCGGGAGGACGCGCCGGCCGGCCGGCGGACGACCTTCCACTTGAAACTTCCCGTGCCTCACCGCCGACACCTCCCGGCCGGCGCACGCCCTCCCCGCCCGCCGCCGCCGCCGCCGCTGCCACTGCCGGAGCCAGCCACGAGGGGAGGGCGGAGGAGGCCGAGCCGGGCGGGCGGAGGGAAGGAGGGAGGAGGCCGCGCCGGCGGAGGCGGGGCGGGGCCGGGAGGAGAGGAGGCGGCGGCCGCGGTGCTCGCCGCGCGCCCCGAGCCTCGCGCGCGCCGCGCGTCGCGGCTGCCGCCGCCGCGGCGCTGGAGAACCGCCGCCCCCCGCCCGCCCCCGCCCCGCCCTGCGCTCTCCTAGCGGTCCCCGGGAAGTTTCCCCACCACCACCCCCGAGCCAGGCCGCCTGGAGGAGATGCTCTCGAGGCTCCAAGGCCCTGGCCCGCCCGCCCTTGCGCTTTCGCCCCAGACTACCCGGCTCGCCACCAGTCGTCCCCCGGGACCCCGAGGGCGGGGTCGTCGAATGGCTGCCAGGTTCGCAGCTTCCCAAAACCTGCTGGCCTAGACAACCCCAAGTTCATTTACAAATCAGCCAGGGAGTGACACCTCCGCGGCGGCACTGGTCCGTTTGTAGGAACACCAGTTAAAAAATAACCCAAGTGGTAACTTTCCGGACGCTTGACCTGCCAATATTTCCTTCCCACCTGGCCTAATCTAATCACCACCTGCAACCGGACTCCTAAATCCCAGGGCTGTTCTTGGATTCTCTGCGTGTGCTCTAAAGGCTCTAGGATCGGGGAGGTGATGTCAGGGGCAAGGAAGTTAGCATAAGAACTCTAGGAGAGTGGAGGGGAGGGGGTAGCTGCTTGGTAGAACACGTCCCTAGCGTAGGAGAGGGAGTCCCTGCTCCAGTCCCCAGTACTGGGGGCTGAGAAGGGGAGGGGGGAGGAAAAGGAGAGGGGGGTGGAGGGTTTAGACAGTTTACTTCAAGCTCTGTGCCCTGAACAACATGCTACATTAACCCATTGAGATCCACAGGCCAGGCATCAGAAGATTCTTTGACAGAACATAAAGAATTCACTGAAGTATAAACCGCCCTGCAAAGCCTTAATTCATTGCTACTTTTTGGATTCTCCCCAAATTGCCTCATCCTTAAAATTGCTATGGAAAAACCATAGGTTTTTCTAATTATAGGTGTTGCATTTCACATTGAATATTCACTCTGTTCCCTTCCAGACGCGACCAAGGTAGCCATTCTGTCTTGAGCTGGAATGATACAGGGTAAACCAACAGTCATAATTAGTCACTTGGCCAAGATTATCCTGTCTAGTTTTCATGATGACCACTACTGAAGAAACAAGAGAATTTAATAAAAACTCTGAGGGCATGATCTTGTCTCCAACCTGACTTTTCTGAAAGATTATTTAGAAGAAACACAGAAATCTACCATAAGAAAAGCCATTTTCCAATCAAAACACTGGTAGAAACCGAGAGGAGTACTTAATTTAAGAGCAAGTACATTTCTTTAGTTGGAATAAAGCAGTTACCAAGACTGTCTTTCAGCTGAAATTTATGCTGGTATTAAGGAAGTATACACCCTTTCATACACCTATGCTAAAAGTAAACTGAGTTAATGTCTGTCAAGAAATAGACTTCTCCATAAATTCTAGGTTTCTGATTAACTGAGGAGCTCTTTATGCCAAGCCATACTTGCTCACCTCTTCAAGAGCTGCTTCTATCCTACACCAAAGAGCTAAGGACTATTTTTAAGAGAAAAAGAAGATTAAATATTTATAACTTCTATTTCATCATATGATTTTTTAAATGTTGACTTCTGAACCATGAAGTGGGACTATGAAGGCTGGGAAAGATCCTGGATTACAGAAGGAAATCATGATGGTGTCAAGACCAGTATCACAGATTTGAATCAAAGCCAGAGTACTTCATTTCCCACAAAGAACTGTTCCCTAGATATGGACCAGATACTGGTCTCCAGCCAACTTCTGGTGACGACTTACAGGAGTGTGTGACTCAGGGCAGACCTACCCCTTCCACTACAGTCTAAGTTTAAAGAATGTGCACTCTCAGTGGACTTTAGGATCATGTTTATACATGAAGAATAGAACGTATTTTTAAGCTCTATAAAAGCATTACGATTCACCTGGAAGTTAATGTTTCCATAAACAATAAAGTAGTCCTTAAAACGTGGATATATTTATGTTTCGGAGGTATTAGACTGATTCTCACTTTTCCCTGAAAAGTTCATTACTAATATAAATGGAAATAGTTTATTTCATTCAAAGACTTCCAAATATAAAAAAGGAAAAATAAAATTTAATCTGTTTTTTACTTTGCCTCATTATGTATCAGGGGTTGTCAACTTAAGCAGATCATTGTCTTCATGAATGAGAGTTATTTCCCTGTTCAATGGTGAGAATGTTAGTATCCCCCCCAGACTCATGAATTCACATGTTGAAATCTAATCCTAAATTCAATAGCACTAAGAACCTTTAGATGGTGATTAGTAATTGAGTACTCCTGTAAGTCCAGGTGATAGAGTTGCAGTGGCCACTTAAAAATTGGTAGGCTGGGGGAGCTGGGAATGTGGCTTAGTGGTAGAGTGCTTGCCTAGCATGAAGCCTTGGGTTCGATTCCTCGGTACCACATAAACAGAAAAAGCCAGAAGTGGCGCTGTGGCTCAAGTGGTAGAGTGCTAGCCTTGAGCAAAAAGAAGATCAGGGACAGTGTCTAGACCCTGAGTTCAAGCTTCAGGACTGGCAAAATAAATAAATAAATAAAATCAGTAGGCTGGATACAGATATCTAGTTCCTGATTAATGAACACTTGTTCTTTGTAGGAAATTGACTGCTCTAGTTTTTTTTTTTATTTTTAACGCTCTATGAATTGTTTTCCTTCTAACTCTCAGGAACTTTCGTGGCATTTGTAACCCCACAATCCCATGGTTTGGAAATCAACATATGAATTCATATGATAAACTAGAAATCATATTCATTTTACCATCTTTCTTTTCTTAAGCACCCCTTAGATGCTCTTTGCTGAGGTGAGCAGGTGTAGTTTGGTATTAAGAGGCTCCCCTATCCCCTTCATGCGATTGATGTCTTCATAGAAGGCTTGAAAAACACGGTGTGGTGGCACATACTTAAAACTCCAGAACTTGAAGGGTTAAGTCAGGAAGATATCTGTTGAAGGCCAGCTTGGACTACACAGCGAGGTTCTCCTAGAAGAAAGAAAGAAAAGGAATAAGGAAGGAAAGAAGGAAGGAAGGAAGGAAGGAAGGAAGGAAGGAAGGAAGGAAGGAAGGGAGGGAGGGAGGGAGGGATGGAGGGAGTAAGGGAGGGAGAAAAGGAGAAAGAAGAAAGAAAAGAGAGAGAAAGAAGAAAGAAAAGAGAGAGGGGGAGAGAGAGATGGTAGGGGGAAAACAAAGGAGGGGGTAACAATGCACTGTAGGAAATGTTCTCATGTAACTGTAACCTATCTGTACAGTATCTTTATAGTAATATATATATATATATATATAGAGAGAGAGAGAGAGAGAGAGAGAAAGAAAGAAAGGAAGGAAGGAAGGAAAGAAAGAAAGAAAGAGAAAGAGAGAGAAGGAGAGAAATTATGGTGGAAGGAGGATGTATCTCTGTGATATAATGTTTATCTGGTATATGTAAAGCCCAAGATTCCATCCCTAGCAACCAACCAAAAATAAAATAATCAGATCACTCTCCCATGCCCATCTCTTGTGGTGCTGGGGAACAAATCCAAGGTCTTCTGCTTCATGATTCCCACCCCTGAACTACTTCACTAATCCTGATCTGAGAGAGCTTGTTTACCTCTAGCTATGAAGCAGAAATTGAATCTCTACCAGATACTTAATTCTCTGGCACCTGGAATTTTGGATTTCTAAGGATCAACAAATTTTGAGGAATAAATTTTTACTGGTATCAACTACCTAGTCTAAAATATTTCATTATTACAGACTAAGATTGAGTGAATATAATACTTTATTTTTTCAAGTGTTAGATGGAACTCAAGGCCCTGTGCAAGCATTTCTCCAGTTTTAAATGTATGGGCCAGATGTGGGGGCACACAGCTATAATCTCAGCATTAATGAAGCAGAGTGAAAAGGATCCAGAGTTTCAAGCCGGTCTGGACCACATAGCAAAACCCTGTCTCAACAAACAAAACAAAAAGTACAATGACATCCTTTTAAGCATCAATGAGTCAGCAGTGTCAAGGGCACATTAGATGGAAGGAAGCTTCAGTCAGGGAGATCTATTTGGAAGCCATGACAATAATCAAATTAGAGAAATATGGATGTGAATTAAGCTACGATACTGAAATAACAATGAAAGGGTCAATTTAAAACATAATTAAAAAAAAAACAAAGAAATGGAACTTGGTACATGAGAACCCTGTAAAAGGCAAATTGTATTAAAATGTATTAAGAAAGTAGAATACACAAACACCATTTCTAAAGTGTTTTAGGAATACATATGATGAAATCAGTGATTGACAGATGCTCTTTTGTCCATTGCTAACAATAAATCTAACACTGAAAGTCTTTGCCATTGCGCGGGAGAACATAGCAGGATGTTTCCATGTATGAAGAAAATCGATCACTGTACCATCCCCTGCTCTCTCATACTTGCCATTCTAATGATCCTGTTGATTTAAAAGACTGTTTCCAAAGACAAGGCAGAAATATTTCTTTTGAGATTGGAAGATGGCAGAGGATGGCATGGATTAAGTCAAGTATGCCTTACACTTGAATCTCTGCTCTGCACTTCCCTGCAGGTATCCTCTAAACAGGGACAGTGATTCTAGGGGGTATTGCACTGTAGTAGCACGGTGATGGCTGTAGAGCTGACCAGCAGGGACTGGGGGGGGGGGAGGGGTGCGGGATGGGGGGGAGGGATTAGCTGTTTTCTGGAAGGCAAGGGCTCCTAGTCTGTAAGAGAACAACTTTCTATTGTTTTCTGCCACCCAGTTTGTGGTGCTTGGTAACAACCGCCCTAGGAATCTAATAAAGTTGGTTTAAAAACCGATACAGATGATCCAACTGCATTTTATTCAGATCAGTTTTAGCCA